TGTGGCATAGCCATCCCCACCTCGAGAGGTGATTTCTCACTTGCTCTCTCACTGTCTCTGTCTTTCTCTCTCTAGTGAGCATGTATGCCCTAAGGCAAAATCAAAACCAAAACCAAAAAGAAAACTCTTACAAAAAAAAAAAGAGAAAAGAGTATGGACCTAAGGGTCTTGCAAACTCAGGTTTGAATCTTGGACTTAAGAATTATAGCAACTTGGAGCCAGCAGTTGGCGTAATGGCTATGTCGCTGGACTCCCATGTAGTTGACCATGGTTCGAGTCCCAGACCCAGAGGCTTAAACTCATGCCGGGTGCGTGTGAGTGCATACCCAAGATCCGAAAATCACACTGGGTGTGTGTGCGTGCATGCCCAAGATCCCGGGAGGAGAATGTAGGAGAAGGGATTGTGGCATAGCCATCCCCACCTCGAGAGGTGATTTCTCACTTGCTCTCTCACTGTCTCTGTCTTTCTCTCTCTAGTGAGCATGTATGCCCTAAGGCAAAATCAAAACCAAAACCAAAAAGAAAACTCTTACAAAAAAAAAAAGAGAAAAGAGTATGGACCTAAGGGTCTTGCAAACTCAGGTTTGAATCTTGGACTTAAGAATTATAGCAACTTGGAGCCAGCAGTTGGCGTAATGGCTATGTCGCTGGACTCCCATGTAGTTGACCATGGTTCGAGTCCCAGACCCAGAGGCTTAAACTCATGCCGGGTGCGTGTGAGTGCATACCCAAGATCCTGAGAGGAGAACAGAGGAGAAGTGATTGCGGCATGGCCATCCCTCCTGGGGGGTGATTTCTTGCTTTATGTCTTTCTGTCTCTCTCTGTCTTTCTGGTGAGTGCATGCGCTCTATAGTGAAAACCTCTCCAAATAATAAAAAAAGACTTGTAGTGACTGTGAACTAGGCACATCTACCAGTCTCTCTAAGCTTTAGTTTCCTCACCTGTAAAATGGGGAAACAGAGAATCTATTGTACAGGGTTGTGATTGTGCATACACAACGTTTAGCACAGTTCCTGACATCTAGTGGGCATCTGATAAATGGTAACTCCAAAACTGTTATGTCATATAGAAATAATGATAATAACAAGTAAGTCCTGTCCTGGGGGAGGCTCTGACATGGCTGTGGTGGCTCGGCTCTGTGCTCATGGCTGTGGCTCGCCTCTCTTTACTGTTACAACCTGGAAGTAAGGTGCTTTTCTTTCATCCATTCAACAGAGGGTAAAACTGAGGCCCAGATCATGCAGCAAGGAAGTGGAGCTGAACTCAAGGGTAGCCCACGCTGGTTAGAAGGCTCTAGTCCTGAATGCAGAGCACATGCCCCAAACACTCTGAGGTATGGCAGCTGGACACCCACCTCGTCCTGTCCCGGACCAGCCCTTCTGCCTGGGCGCCTGGGATCCACTGACCTAGCGCAGTCACCTGCTCCCATCCAGTCCCTGTGATCTGTTCTCCACCGGGCAGCCAGAGGGAGCCTCTGAGCCACGAGTCACATTATGTCACTCGAAAACCCCCAATGGCTTTTTGTCACCCTTAGCTATACCCAAAGCCTTCAGGTGACCCAAAGGCCTCACCCCCATTGCCTACGACAACCTCCCCTCTGCTCCAGTGCACGGCCTCTTCCCTGGACCTAGAGCTGGCTGACTGCGCCCACGCCCCGGGGTCTTCCCATGCTGTTCTCTCTGCCTGGAACAGTTTCCCTGGACACTCGTGTGGCCTCTTCCTTCACCTCCTTTCAGTCTTTGCTCCAGTGTCAGAGCCGCCTAACCTGGTTATACCACGTGAAGTTACACCCTGGGAAGGCCTGGCCTCTCTTCGGAGTCTCTATCTGACATGAGTGTTCCATTGGGTTGTTGGCTCTGCCTCGCTCCGTGGAAGGTCAGTGGCTTGAGGACGCTGGTCTAGCTGTGTTTTGTTTGCTGAGGAATCCCAGCGTTAGACTGGGGCCCCGGCTAGGTGTGCTCCCCATTCAGGGCTCAGAGAAGAAAGGGAGTGGGCTTCACCCCCAGCCCCCTATGGCTCCCTGGGGGCTAAAGAGGCCACTCTCTAAACTTGGACAGGAGCTGCCATGCACCCGCAAACAATGTGTTTTCACTTTGAGGTTTAGTCTCGTTGTGTAGTAACATGGTTTCAATTCTGCTAAGGTGCCTTGGGGGCTCCTGGCATTGGGGACATTTTTGAAAAAATAAAATAAAAAAGTTAAGAGAATAAAAACAAACCGGCTTCCCTGAGTAGCTCCAGCTGGTGATTAAGACGTTTAAGAGGTGCAACTTCGACTTGGAGGGCTAGAGCGCACAGCAGAGCGGGGAGACTCTGAAGACATCGACTTGAAACACACACACGTTGCAAACACTCGGCTCTGAGTCGCGGGTTCACTCAGATCCACAAAGCCCCCACGCGCGCGGCTGTGCTGGTGTCACATCGGCGCTTCGCACATCTGCCTGCCGGCTTGGCAACCAAATGCGTATGCCCAAGATAGAGTGGACTTCCGGTACGCACACCCAAGGCCCTCTCCTTGTCAGTAAGTGGCCCGCCCTGGGTCCTGGCCGCTTCTCTCGCCCCAGCCCCACATCTGATCTATCAGCGCGACCGCTCGGCTCTACCTCCCTGCTGAAGGCCCGCTCTCTCACCACCAGGTCCAAACCATCGTCCCCTGCTTGGACAACTGCGGGAGCCTCTTCACTGGTCTCCCTGCCTCCGCCTTTCCTCGCCTATTGCCCACTGTCTACACAGCAGCAGCCAGGGTGGCCTTCGGAACACGCGAACCAGATCGTGAGGCTTTTCCCGCTTAGTGTCCCCTCTCCTCACGGCTATCCACACCCTTAGAAGAAACTCATTTCTAGAACCCGTCAGGCCCCCAGCTCCCTCTCCAAACTCCCTGGGCTGCCCGGTGCCTTCATGCCTGCAGGCCTGCTCTGACCGCGGGTACTCAGACTGGTTCCTGCCCCAGGGCCTCTGCGTGTGCTGTCCTGGCCCCCTCCCCAGATCTCCGCTTTGCTCCTCACCGTCACTGAACCCCAGTGTTGCTTCACGAGTCCTTGCCTGACACCCCCACAGAACGCTGCTCCCAGCCTCCTCCATCCTCCCACTTGACCTCATGTCTGGTAGTTTTATTGTCAGGGCCCAGGGACTGTGGGTGATCCACACAGGGTGGCCCTTGTTCTCACAAAATTGGATTTTTTTAAAAAAAGAATCATTCATTTAATCTTATTTATCACTATTCTTCAATTTTACGAGAGAGAGAGAGAGAAAGAGAGAGAGAGAGAGAGAGGCGGGGAGAGAGAGAGAGCAAGCTGCCAGGTCTGGGACCCGAACCACAGCCAGCCACATGGGAGTCCAGTGCCCCAGCCACCATGCCACCTGATGGCCTCTATGAAATTGACATTCTATCAGGGAGACAGGAATAAGCTAAACCCAGCTTTTCGACCACAAACGTCCATGACTTGATTCGCTAAAGCGAGCCGGGCTTTGACATCTGTAATGTGCGAGCCCTTGCTACCATATAGGCTCCGTAAGTACCTGCTGATTCCAGCTGCCATGGGGATGCTTTGTTTTTAACTCACACGCTCTTTCTCTTTCGCTCTCTCACCCACCCCTCTTCTCTTTCCTTCTGGTCCTGAGAGGTCTTTGCCAAGGGAACCTGCACACCGCCCTTTGCTGCAGAGACACTGGGGCTCGATGCCCGCCTTCTCCACTTCCCCAAAGCCCTCTCTCCTCCTCCAGAAGTGTCCAGCCATGCCTCTCTGCAAAACACACGTCAGGCAGAGAACCCGATTCCATTGTATAAAGGGAAGACTGAGGTCCAGGGTCCTGTGTGAACTGGACGGGACATAAGATGAACTAGGTCAACAAGAACTCCCCCTCTGGAACTCCAGGCCTGCAGACTCAAAAGAAAACGCTGTCTCCTTCCTGATGAGAACTGTTAGTAATGCCCCAGGCGAGCCAGGACAGGTTGGGAATCTATATCCTTTCTGTTTCTACTTCACTGTTTAGTCCCTGGGATTCTTTAGATTCTCACAAGGAAATCCAGAATAGTTTTTCACATATAGTTTTCTTTTAGGGTGTCTTTCATTTCAATCTGTTGAGCCAATAATGTGAATATAATTTGCAAAGCCAGAAGTTCTCCACACTAATCCTTGCATCACTTTTCAAAAGCCCTTTTTTTCTCTTGGAGAAAGTTTTCATCAAAGGGAAGTAACTCATTGTATTTCCCTCTTTGCTTTGGCTACCAGGAAGCTCACAGGTTAACTCTGAACTTGACTGCAATAGTTAGCTCAAGTCTGGATTTTGTGGGGGCATAATTCCTTACCCTGATCCTTTGCGCAGCTTTTTATCCAAGGTGTTTTCATTGACAGTTCTATTTTAAATATGTTTCCCATTTGAAATCCTCCCTAAATCTTTCTAACATAGGCTGGATATAAACAAATGAATTACATTTATTTCCAAAGTTGTTCACCCTCTCCCTTGCAACTTGCTTAGGGGCTCAGAAGCAGATACTTTAAATTAGCATATTCCCTGTGCTCGCTCTCACTCTCTCTTTGTAAAACATGCTTTCAGGGGAATGTAAATTGTTTTTAAAAGCTTCCATCCTGGCCCACTGCTAATTATTACTGACCCAGGAGGATCTGCACTAATTTGCCTTAATAAACTTATTAAATAGCAAATTTCAGGAGGAAGAAACTACATGGCCTTTATTGGATTAGTGAACCAGCCGGTGGACATCAGCACTGGGGCAACGGAGAGCCAGGGAGGTAATCCGGCCCCGTGTGTTTCCAATAAACCGTCGCTGGCCACTTCTGTGCCTTCTAGGGGCTTGCTAGCAAAAGTTTCAAGCCTATTTTAAAAAAAGAAAAGAAAAGAAAAGAAAGGAAAGAAGGAAGGAAGGAAGGAAGGGAGGGAGGGAGGGAGGAAAGGCACACCTCTGTCTCTCACCCCCACCCCTCCAGACCAGACGCAGGTGATTAAACATGGCCAATAGTCAACAAAGCCAGTGGCTGCCAACCTCCAGGTCGTTGAAGAACAGATGTGTGTCCGCGAGGTTGAAGATCATCTCCTCCATCATCAGGCCGATGCGCACGGACGTCGTGGTGTCCTGTCAGGAAGAAAGGGGACTGTCACACGCCCTGCAGCTCTGCAGTCTCGGCCTCCCCCCTCCCTCCCGCCTCCGGAAGGCGGTCGGGGCCTTCCTCTTCTGCACAGCTCCCCCGTGGCCTGAGACGTGTCTGTACACAGGCGCAGGGCAAGCACCTCGCACAGCTTGAGATCACATGCCTAGCCTTTCGCGGTTGATACGTACCCTCTTTGGTTCTGAAATGTCCCTGAAAATGCCCCTGGGGTTGCAACTGTGTTCAGCGTCACGAGGACACTTGTTAGAATAAAGGCTGTCACAGGTGCCAGCAGGTGGCATAGTGGTTAAGGTGCTAGACTCCCACCTGGTTCAAGTTCCAGAACCGGTGGCTTAAAATTGATGCCAGGTGCATGTGCGTGTGTGCCCAAAAGTCCAAAAAGAGAATGGAGGAGAAGAGATTGTGGTGTGGCCATCCCACCAGGGGGCGATTTCTTGCTTTCTGTTTCTGTCTCTGTCTCTTTCCAGTGAGTGCATGCACCCTGTAGCAAAAATTTCTCTTTCTTTCTTGCTTTCTTGAAAAAAAAAAAAAAAAAAGGCTGTCATAAAAGGAGGGTCTCTTGGAAAACATATATCTTCAGGAACTCCCTTCCACAATCTTCATTTCCAGGGAGGCCTAGAAGACTCCGGGGAGAGCCAGCAGGCAGTTTCTCTCTTTCCAGCTATCTCTCTGTGGCTGCTCCCCTACCCTTCTTTTAGAGAGCTTAAAAATCTCTGTTGTCTGACAATAGAGGGTTACTTTTTTTTTTTTAAAAAGAATTATTTAATTTTATTTATTCATTCATTTTATTTATTTAGAGTTTTTCTGCTATAGGGCACGTGCGCTTATCAGAAAGACAGAGAGAGACAGAGAGACAGAAAGCGAGAGATCATCTCCCGGGGGGATGGCCATGCTGCAATCCCTTCTCCTCTTGGGATCTTAGGCACGCACGCACATGTGCCCGGCGTGAGTTTAAGCCACTGGGTCCAAGACTCGAACCACGGTTGACTACATGGTAGTTCAGTGACATAGCCATTGTGCTAACTGCTGGTCCCTATTCACTCATTTATTTTTAATTTGACAGAGAGACACACAGAGAGGAAGAGAGAAGTGAGAAAGCAAGCCACCAGGTCCAGGACTCAAACCATGGTCTGCCATGTGGGAGTGTTCAGCACCTTTACCACCGCATCACCTGCTGGTCCCAAGGGTTACTTTTAAAACAAAACCCACGCATAGAAATCCACTGTGGTACCAGGGAAAACTCTGCAGCCATTATAAAAATGGAGTTATGCTAGAGCTACTGATATGAAACTGTCAACAAGAAATACAGTATAATGGGACCAGCAGTTGGCGTAATGGCTATGTTGCTGGACTCACATGTAGTTGACTATGGTTCGAGTCCCAGACCCAGTGGCTTAAATTCACGCCGGGCATGTGTGCGTGCGTGCCTAAGATCCCAAGAGGAGAAGGGATTGTGGTACGTGATTTTTTTGCTGTCTTTCTGTCTGTCTTTCTGGCAAATGCATGTACTCTATAGGGAAAACCTCTCAAAAAAAAAAAAAAAAAAAAAGAAATTCAGTATTTATGGACCAGCAGGTGGCACTGTGGTTAAAATGCTCCCACATGGTTGACAGCAGTTCGAGTCCTGGACCTGGCATCCTGAACATCACACCGGATGCGTGTGCCTGTGCCCAAAATCCTGAGAGAAAAATGAAGGAGAAGGGACTGCGGCATGGCGATCTTCCCTGGGGGATAATTCTCACTTTCACTCTCGCTCTGTCTCTATCTTTCTCCAATGAGCACATATACCCTATAGCAAAAACTAAAAAACCAAACCAAAACAAAACTGTATTTAAAAAAGAAGTTTCTTTCTTTCCTTCACGGGAGAGAGATGGATGGGAGGGGTTCCCACGCCATGACCCATGCCCAGCCTCAACTAGCCTGGACCAGGGGTGCATGGGCATGTGCCTGGTGTGCACAGGGAGACCCCAGGATGCAAGCCCAGGCCCTGCCCGGGTGGGACCAGCTTCGTGTGGCTTTATGTCTCCACTGTGCCAGAGCTGCTGGCCCAAGAGACACTGTGAAGTGACACAAGCACGCTGTGTCAGTCTAATGTGAGAAGCACAACTGTGCACAGAAGAGTCCCTCCTTTCCCTCCCTGCGGCCCCCCTCCCTATGGACAGCGAGGTGGACAGCATTGCCATTCACCCTGGTTTCCTTGGAGTATGATACACACAGAGCGTGGTGACCCACAGCCTCCAGGCCCAATCTGATCTGCTGCTTGTTTCTGTATGGCTCATGAGTTAAGGATTTTACACCTTTTTTGGAGAGATTTTTACTACAGGGTGCGCGAGCTTGCTGGAAAGACAGAGAGACAGAGAGACAAAAAGCGAGAAATAACCCCCCAGATAGGATGGCCATGCCACAATCCCTTCTCCTCCATTCTTCTCTCAGGATTTTGGGCATGTATGCACACATGCCCGGTGTGAGTTTAAAGCCACTGGGTGGATCTGTGGTTGACTCTATGTGAGAGTCCAGCGAGGTAACTATTATGCCATCTGCTGGTCTCAGTTTTTACAGTTTTTAGCAATGTATTTTTGCACTACAAAACCAAATGTGAGTAGCAGTGACACAGACCACAAAGCCTAAAATTCTTACTATCTGGCTCGCTGCAGGAAAGTCTGTGGCCTCTGACATACTCTTGCTGTTGACTCAGCTGTAACCATGTGAGTTGCTTTGGTCCATCATATGTGGGCAGAGTTATGTTTCACTTCTGATCAGAAGCTTTGAGAACCAGTGCATGGTTCCCTAGGCTCTCCTCTCACTTGACAAGACTGTAAATGTTTTGGATAAAAGCTACTTTTTAGCTGGGATTACAGAATAAAGATAACATAGATCAGATCTGTAGCTGACTACAATGAACATGTACTATAAATGAGAGAGGTAGACTGAGAAGTAAATGAAATGTGGGGGGTGTTTGTTACTGCCGCATACGCTCACCTATCCTAACTGATACACATGAGAAATGAGTAGCATAAATGTTCTTTACCCTGGCTACACACTGTAATGCTCTGGGGAGTGTTTAAAAATTCTGGTGCCTAGGCTGCTCCCCAGACCAATAAAAACAGAATTGCTGAGAGTGGGGTCCAGGCACCAGGAAGTTTACAGTTCCCCAGGGGATTCTAGTGTACAGCTAAGGTTAAGAACCACTGGTCTAAAGGATACACAGCACACTGGCAGTAATATTCCCAGCTAATAGCCATTAAGTGCTTTCTCTGTGCCACTTTACGAGTATTAATTTATTTAATCCCCACAAAGCTCTATGAGGCAAGCACTGTTTTATGAACTGTGGCACACAGTTTTTTCCCATTTTATGAACTGAGGCACACAGAGGTTAGGTAATTTGGCCACACAGTGAGCAAGCGCTGAGATTTGAACCCAGGTAACCTGGTTCCAGGGTAACAGTGCTGCCAAGGGGGGCCTGAGGGGGGCTGGGTTGGGTGTGGGAAGAGGGGGGCCTTGCACCTCCACTTCGTGTGCTTTCTCTGCTTGAATTTTTCACCGGGAGCTGTATTACTTCTATGATGAAAACGAGTCATTAAGGACATCAAGCTTTTTGACCCTTACAAAAGAAAAGGGAAGAAAAGAAAACCACGCAGCCGATGATGTCAGCCTCGCACACAGCACTGTGAAGTCAGGCCCAGGAACACAGCCATTAGGCCGAACACCTCGTTAGGGCGCTGAGCGCCACAGCTTAGCACCCCCAGGGCTGGCTGCAAGTCAGCGGTGCAGGGCACGCAGTGAAAGATGGAGAGCCAATGAGGAAAACCAACCCTTCCGGGCTTAGGCGCGAGTCGGTGTGGGACCTGGGGAAAGGTTGGGGGTGTTTCCACGCATGACTCAGACCCCAACCATTTCACCTCCGCGTCACGGCTCATTCTCCGGCGGCTGTGCACTGGCCCGCTGACGGCCACCCTCAACATGCTGGACACGACTCAGGAGGAGGTGCCTGAGGCTCTGACTGCTGAAAGGGTTCATTCAGAAAAATGTCACCTCCCAGGCCAGCACGCACACGAGGAAAAGAGCTTTATAGGACACGGCTTCTCTGTGGAGAGTATTTGTGAACACCGTACAGCGATCAAACTGTAGCCATGACTGATCGACGTGGAGGGGGGGGGGGCGGCTGAAGAGGAAGTCTGCACACGCGTGATGGCACGAGAGTGACGAAAGGGAGCTAAGTTCCTAACTTGTACTTGGGGAGGCCAGGGGCCGCGCCTACAGTAAAAGAAGCAAAAATCAATACTAACACTAACACGTTACTTAGAGATTCGGAGGTAAACGCTGCAGCAAGAGTTGAGGGTCATTGCATCTGGACAGAAAGAAGGGTGGTTATGGGGGACTGCTGCTTCTCACAGAACTTTCCTTTGTGGAGTGAACTGAACTTTAAATGAAATATAAAAATGTGTAAAACCCGCCTACAGTAAAAGAAGCAAAAATCAATACTAACACTAACACGTTACTTAGAGATTCGGAGGTAAACGCTGCAGCAAGAGTTGAGGGTCATTGCATCTGGACAGAAAGAAGGGTGGTTATGGGGGACTGCTGCTTCTCACAGAACTTTCCTTTGTGGAGTGAACTGAACTTTAAATGAAATATAAAAATGTGTAAAACCTACACACACACACACACACACAGATATATGTATA